GAGGTGGGAGTGGCTTGTTAGTGTCAAACGCCTGAAGAAAATTAAGATCTTTATTTGGGACAAATTAAGGTGAAAACAGCATGATCAAGGTCAGTCATTTTGTGCAGGTGTCTAAAGAGTGAACAGTGAATTTAAAAAGACTCCCTTCCAGTTGCTGTTTATGCAGGAAATCTGGCACAGTCTTCAGGGTATGACACACAAGAGAGAAATTTGAGTAATATTAGGAAAGAATTTAGAAGTCTCAAAACAAGGTCAGTGAACTCAAGTGCCAAGCACATGATATTCCTGGTGTCACAGAGAAAAGAGGTCAGTTCCTTACCTTATAGAGCTGTTGAACCCACACATTTTATGTGGCTGAGCAGTTTTCTCTGGGAGATGGTTTGCTCATCAGAGGTTTAGATCCTGTATCTTTTGAAAATAAGTGTTACTAGCATATTGAAATACCACATCTTATAATTCAGTAAAAATGCAATCATTTTTCTCCCACTGTCCTTTTACAATTTAGTCTCTGGGATAATAGCTCTTGCTCCTGCATGTATACTCTAGCAACCCATAATTTCCTGCTAATTCTTAGGTAATAGATGATCTATGGTCACTAAGTTACAAACATTATCCAGATGCAAAAAACTTAGGAAATCCAGTCCTGGGTGATACTCAAAACTTTGAACTTAAGTTGCTGTTAAATCTCCCTTTTTCTCTCTCCAACCTCACTTCTCTGAGCTTGGGCTGACTTCAGGATAGAAGCCTGCAGTGACATAGAGGGTGGTGGTCCTTCCATCTCTCTGCCTCCTATTTCTAGTCCTCCCCTTCCATCTTGAGCTGTTATTTAAACCCTACCAGATCCAGTGGGACTAGTGGAGACAGGGAGAGGCAACACACAGGGCAGCTCTTATTTGAAGCAGTACTCTCATCACTTGGTCTCACTCTGGTCTAGCAGATGCCTTTTTCCCTTGAGATATCATTTTCTTGGACTCCTCAGAGCTTTCTCACTGTTTCTCTTTCTCCTACAATTCTCTTGTCCCTGAAGGATGCTTCTCTTATTTCTCTGTTCTGATTGTCACTTGTGACTCCTTCCTCGGCCCCTAGACACACAGTAGTGCATCTCCAAGCTCCTCCAGGTGGCTCTATCGGACAGAATCTAAGATTCTGTCTCAGGGCCCGTGGCTTTTCCAAGGAACATTCATACATCCCTTGCCTGGGACTGATGTGGGTCCCAAGGCAGCAGCACTCTCCTGGTTCTGGCTCCAAAACAGTCAGTATAGATTCCCACCTGATAGGAGTTCGAATCCAGCCAGTGTCAATTTCAGCTTTCTCAGGAGTGAATTGGGTACCAGTCTCTAAGTCTCTCAGCCTTAGGAAACACTTCCACTGCTCTCTGAGGGATTTTCTCCCCATCTCAGGTTTAGAGGGTTGCACCTCCTCCCAACTCCCTGAGTGCAGGAGGACATGGCAACATAATGTCCCTCCCCACCAAGGTATCTCTCCTTTGATCTCTTTTATCTACGTTCTCTGACCCTTCTTCTATGTCCTCGATGTAACTGAGAAACCCAAGAGTGGCTTGAAGGTTCTTGAGGCCATTTACTTTCAAAATCTTCATAACATGGTTTGGCACCTTTGTTTGGAATTTTACATCTATTATGTTTTGTCGTCTGGTGGAAACTCAGTTTTAAGATCGTATTACACAAGTAATAAACAAACATGATTCACGGGCCAATCCAGTGGTGTAACATCTGTCTTTACTAAACATTTTGATATCTGAGTGTTGTTACTGTGTTAAAAAAAATCAGGGGAGACAACTCTCTAAAGAGTCTTATTTAATCCTTGACCAGCTATGTTATTTAGCACTTCTTAACTAGAGCTGTAGGCGTATGGAGTTCATAAAATAATTTGGAATGAAATACTGTACTGAATGAATATTTTTTATGTGGTAGTAGATGGATCCCCAAGGGCATCACGTGTCTTGCCTGCTAAGACCTTTTCCAGCACAAGAAAGTGGTGAGCTCACCATTCTCTGGCTGTACAAGAGGGCAGGAAAGTGGCTTTGCAATAGTGAGCCACTAGGAGACAAATTCTCCCAAATTAACTCCCTCACCAGCTGACCGCTTCTAAACCCAGACTTCATAGGCCCCATAATGACATGTTTCTGTGAGGTTTGAAGGGAGGAAGGATATCCTTACAGGGTTGCTTGAGTCCAAAGCAGAGAGAGAAGGGAAATAAATATCAGCCTTGGGTCCAGATGTGGCATAACCAGATTATGTGTGCTGCCGGCTGGCCCTGACCTTTGGAGTTAAGATTGAGAGCCAGAAAGGCTGTGTGTTGTAGGGATTTTTCCCTTTTTGTTTGCTTGTATAACACGAGGGAGGGAAATAGTTGAGTAAAATCCAAGTGTTTCTTTTATTTCACTTCTCTGGAGACCTTAATCATGGAATTGGAAGGACTTGCTTGATGCTTCATTTGTTAAAGCAGTAACTCCCTAAGCTGGTATCTCCTTGCCTTTTTAAACCTGCACCTTTGGTGAGCATGAAAGTTTCCCACCTCCTTGAAGAGGCTGATTTTCTCCCTCCTCCCCATCTTGCCACCTCCTTGAGATTCACATGCTTTGGGGAGTATGGCAGCAGAGATGTCATCAAGCTGTACTTTCTATAGTTTCCATTACAAAAACAATAGGCATGTGTTGGCTTTCCAAATATATAAGTATGTATTATATAACTGAATGCACTTTTTCACTTTACATTGCACTTTTCATGCTAACAGATCACCATTTGTACAAAGTGTCCCTGCAATTTCAGGAGGCTCACAGATCTGCTGAAGGCCAGGTATGAAAACTCCCAAGGGGACTATTTCTCTTCATCCTAGATGACTCAGTCATGGCCACCTCAAGGGCTCTTTTCTCCATCCTGTTGGAGTCTTTATCTCTGTTGGAATCAGTTTTAGAGCTCTAAGTGGACTTAGAGATCATCTAGTCCCATCCTGCATTTTATAGAAACGGATGTCCAAAGAGTTTAAGCAACTTTCCCAAAGTTACACCACTATGTTTACACTGCAGATCCTGAGCAACTACTCAGGTTGCTGAATTCCCTGCTCATCTTTCTTTTTACTGTATTGTCAATTGCTTGAATCTTCTGTACTTCATCCCATCCCTTTAAAAGATACCAACCAATACTACAAAACAAACAAATGCTAAGGTGCAAACTCTGCAAAATACTTCATGTTCTTCTGTATATACTAACATCAAGCTTCCTTTACTTTATAGTGCCTCCACGGCTGAGAAAATACTTATTTGCCATGAACCCATATTTTAGCCAAGTATTTTAAATGATTCAGAAGAAAAAATACATAACCCCTAATTTCTCATAGTTTAAAATTAATTGGGGAGACAAATGTGGCTCATATTCAGCTTGTGGCCACCTGTGATCTCTGGAAACATTTTTTTTTTTTTTTACAATGTTGTGTTTAATTTCTGCTGTACAGCAAAGTGATGGAACCTTTTTAAATGCATTTGTAATTTCCAACCCTCCACCCTTACTCTGTAACTTATTCTTCCTTGAATTCTTCTGCAGTTCATCTATATCAAGAATAATCTGTGAGATTGGAAGGAATATAGGCGAATTCACAGGTCATTTATTGCTAAATGTAGTTACTAATAATATAAAAGCTCATCCAGTGATGAAACATAGCTAGTGTCGTTTTTTTCTAGATGGGGAAACAGGCTCAGCAAGACTACGTGACTAGTTCAAGGTTGCTCAGCCAGCGGTAGATGGAGCAGAGTCTTGCAGCCAAAGTGGCTGCTTGTCAGAGCCCACAAGCCCCCTTTCAGCCAAGAAAGCAAGAGTAGAATAAAGTAGGGAAAAGCAAATAAAGCAAAATAGGCTTGCTGAAAATTACGATTTTGTCACAGTGAGGTTATGAGCACATCAAACTAGCTGACTGTGAAAAGCTTTTGAACATGGCTCCTGTTGTGTGTGCTCTTCCTAAAGCTGTGTGAAGTTTTATGTGAGCAGGGCCCTTATCATGGTGGAGAAGGGATTTACAGAGGTGAATAATGGATAGACAGTGCTCTCAAGATATCTGTGTTGAATTCTCCTTTTATTTATCTAAGGACTGGGCCTGAGCTGGGGTGAATGCATTAAGTCTCAGCACCTTCGGAGCAAAAAAGGAATTTATCATCCACAATTGTCATCTAAAAGCAGCTCCCAGGTCACAGAGTCTTGGAAAATGGGATAATGAGACTGCAGGTTTCTTTGGAGGAGAAAGTTGTTTGATAGGACCCATGCTCTTGTCAGACTCAGGCAGTGTTTACAGAGGATGAACCTGGAAATCTTGTTTGCTCAGGGTACTCTTGTCCCTAAGCTTTTCCCTATACATCACCAGTGCATTGTGGGATCGTGTCACCTTTTGTATTTTTCCTTGGAGACGGAGGAAGGAGCAGTAGGGATTCGATAAATCCATCCATATGTAAATGAAAATTGTTTTGTTCAGTTGGGATGTATCCATATTGTTTAGCCCCAAGGATATGCAAAATAAAACTTTTTGAAGTTTTCAACCAGGAAAAAGAGGAACATGTGAGAAAAAGATTAAAAAACATACATTCTTCTTTTGACTTGCACTTTGATGGAGGATGAAAGCAATAGCCCATCCCCAAAGAAGTAATCCTAGTTTTAAAAAATCCTTGGTTCTCAAAAGCCTGGCATTGCATGTTTGTTATATTTGTTCCTATTTTGTTTGTAAACGGTTTTAAAGGCATATGATGTGATGAAGTAAATGTTATTTTGCAGTTGAAAATTAAAGAGTTCTTTTGTATTTTAGGTCTTACAGGAATTCTCAGGGACAGTGAGGACTGGAGTGTGTTTGTATTATGGGGAGGGCAGTGAGGAAGATGAGGGGAGAACATTACAGCTCCTTCCTGAAGATAATTATAAGCCATAATCCCTCAATATATATATTTTTTTGCTTCCTCTGGTTTGAAATAAAAATAAATTTTTCCCAAAAATGTATTTCAGGGCCCTCTTAGCATCTCAGATGGAACCAACATTTGCCAGGAATGTTTTCCCTTGTTTTGATGAGCCAGCTCTGAAGGCAACGTTTAATATTACAGTTATTCATCATCCGAGTTATGTGGCCCTTTCCAACATGCCAAAGCTAGGTAAGTAATGTTTCCTATTGTTGTATATGTATACATGTACATATATGTATATGTGTATGTATATATATATATACATACACATATACATATGTATACATAATGTTATATATTATATAATTATATGTTTAATTATATATTTATATATTTGTATTTATATGTTTTTATATGAATTACATATGTGTATATATATTTAACTCTGTAATAGATTTTATATCAGTAGATTTTCTAGTCAATGTGTTGAGAGTGTGTTATGATTGTAGTATATTATAACCAGGGAGGGCAGTCACATGGGATATGCATCAGCACCCGCATCTTGCTGATGGTAAATCCTGACTCTTTTTGTATTAGGAGCTGAGGACACTACACTGTTCTCATACATTGGCAGCCTGTCTGCCCATTAATTTGGGCTTCAACTATTGATCATTAGTGATAACAAGCTAGTAAACTTGGTCTGAATCTGGTACATAGATGTGGGTTTGGTTTGGTTTAGTTTTTTGTTTTTTTGTTTTGTTTTTGGCTCACAGTAGTTTTTTCTTTTGAATTGGCATCCAATTTCTTTTAATTCAGAGATTCCTCATAAAAATAAAAATTCTTATTTTTTTTTTGAAGCTCAAAACATCTAACAACACTGGCCCTGCACTTCCAATGTGCCAGTGATAGTTGCTGCTGAGAAGGGGCTACCTCCTTCAGACCAAGCCCATGGCCCCGCCTGCCGTGGTCCCCACCACTCCGTTAGTGTACACCAGCCCGTTCACATCAAGTACCCGGCCCTCACAGGTGTTTGAGTTTGTGATTTCAGGTTTAAAACCTGCAGTGTGACTCCACTGAAGACCTGCCCGAAACCTGAGAATGGCAGAATTGTTGACCTACTATGGGCCTGGGAAACTTGTTGACCTCCTATGGGCCTGGGAAACTCTAGATTAAGTGCTGAAAGAGATGGGCTGGACTAGGAAACAGTCGTGGAAGGGAAAGAAAGGAGGTAGCTCATGGGCCTAGTTTACAGTGCCCATAGATTTGCCCTCCATCCAGACCATGTCATTCAAGGTGCTAATTCAGGACCGAGATACTGTCCTTAGGCCTTCCTAATATGTTTTTGATAGCTTGGGGGTAGACAAATCCAAACTGCTGCACTCTGGGGAGAAGTTGGGAAGAACTAGCTGAGTGAACAGTCGACTTGACAAATTATTTCAAAGGTAGATAATTGTGCTTGTTATTGCTTATTTACAGTGATTTGGACTAAAATCAATTTCTCTAGGTCAGTCTGAAAAAGAAGATGTGAATGGAAGCAAGTGGACTGTTACTACCTTTCACACCACGCCCCACATGCCCACTTATCTAGCGGCCTTTGCCATCTGTGACTACGAGCATGTCAGCAGGACTGAAAGGGGCAAGGAGGTGAGTGACGGAGACCCTCCAGGTAAGGGGACATTTGTACTGGCCGCAGACTGCTCAGGCACTCCTGCATCAGGGGCTATGCCTACAGACCCCACCCCACCGTCCCCTCCTGGTTCTCCCCCTGATCTCCCCCAAGCCCTGTTACCACTCTCAGCGCGGAGTTGCAGCATGGGATGCAACGGTTCCCACTGCGGTTCTGCAGATGGGTTTCTATGGAAAGGCTGCTCATTAAGCCCACTTGAGGCAGGTTCTGAGCCCCCCCACTTCCTGGGCTTTCGCTGCCTTTCAGAGTACAGGAGAGAACAGGGAAAGCAGGCACACTAGCATCTGGAAGCTCAGGTTTACCTGTTGTTGACTTCGCCTACATGCTACTGCAGCCTTGAAGCCAGGGTGCTGCCCAAAATATCTAGCAGCCACTATGACACAAACACCAAACAACCCAAACTGACACCAGCTGGGACAGCTGCTCTGGCTGAAATGCTGCAGGCAGGTTAAGCATCATCCCTATCAAGGAGCAGGTCCTCTGGGTTCCTCACCTCCGGGGCATGAACACTTCCCTAGAGTTGTGTAAATAGGTGCTCTGTCCTGAAACACCCAGGTTTTCACCAAATTATACTCTCTTTACATAATAATCCTTTAGAGAAATATCAAGGTTATTGTAGCAGTACTTTATAGACTGGTTCACTCCCTACGCTAGAGTGTGAAGGTAAGTAGGGCCAGTGCCTTAGGCCCAGTTCTTTCTAGTCAGATCGAATTCACAGGGCTGAGGAGAGTCAGGCCCTACAGCAGGCGGAGGCTCTCTCCTGGGCCCATGAACTTCCAGGCTTGTGCCATTGACTTGTGGAGGCAAGGAAGCTGTGGATGAGCCAAGTCTGTCACCAGGGGGAGAATCATTCAAAGCCCCTCCTCCTAAGGATGAATTAATAATACCGTGTTAGATGCAAACAACTCATTTTCCTCAGCTGTTGGATCCAGCCTGATTTCCCTTATTGAACAATCATTGGTAGATGCTTCATATTCACAGATATAACATGAGCCAAGTCAGATGTTCATGGCATATATTGATAAATCTACTCAGGCATGATGTAGAAACCTATGGTTTGTACCTGGCATGAAGGAGTGGGCCTGGAGCTCACGAGTGACCCAAGGTGACTGTCAGCATCCTCATCTCCAATGGCTTGTTGCTCTCAATGCTGCTGCACAGTGAATAATTCTTATAAAGGATCATACCTGTTTCTTCATGAAAGATCACCCTGGAAAGAAAGCCAGCTGCCACAGAAAGCAAAGAGGAAATTGAACATGCCTAAGAAAGTCATGGTCTTAGCCAGAAACTTGAAATTTGGGATGAATTTATCAGTGGAATGTTGCGCTTGGCTCTGGCTCAGCTCTGGGAAGCGAAGGAGTCCATCATATACTCTACAGGGAACCAGACTGTACTCTTGGAATAGCATCCAGACTCTACAAAGATGACTCATTAAGTAAGAGATAAAAATTTAGTGAAGTTGAAAATGTGGTTCATGCGTGGCATGAGGATAAACATAAGACACGCATAACTAAGGTTGGAAATAACATATTTTGAGTAGAATTTATCACACGTGGGCATGTGTAAAGATATTCTGCTCTTAGATGTTGAGGTCTGCTGTGTCTGAGGGCCACAAGGACACACTGGTGGGCTAGGTGTGACTTTGAAGGAACCTTATGGCTGCGTTCCTGAAATGTTCTGCACCTGTTTGTGATCCTAGCTGCCCTGCCTCTTCCCCCACAGCTCAGAATCATTATTTACCTCCCTTTGGCTTAAAGAGTGGTTGTTTACGGGAGGAGCTTTGTAACCTGGAAATTTACCTGCAAACATTAGTTGTTAACTGCCTTTTTTCCTCCCAAGACTACAGTTAATTTGCACACATTATCCTGAACATGGGGAAGGGTGACTGTTATTTCCACTCAGTAGCGTGGGCTCTGGTTTAGATGTCTTCCTGGCCTTGCCATGGAGGTGAGAGCTTGCGAAGGGGCAGGTACGGGTAGCGGTAGCGTTAGGGGCAGAGCGGAGTCCTGGGCCCCTCTTTCCCAGGATAATGGGGCCTGGCGGGGAGGAAGGAAGGCTGCAAGGAAGGAGGGGCTCCAGGCAGGAGGCTTCCAAAACAGGTGGTTGCATTTTGTGAAAGGGGAGCGTTCCTGAAGCCCTCAGGTAATTCAAAAGTCACTTGATTCAAGACAAATTCTCCAGCAGAAGTAAAAGCCAAGTCAGATAAACGTGGTCGTGGAGGGCAGCAATCTGAAGATATTGTTGTGTTGCTTTTCGTTTTCTTTGCATTTTCTTTAATGTTTTGCAGAGAGCTCTTTCTCGAATTAATTGTATTCACATCAGTATAATTATCTAATTCCCTCCTCGCTAACTTTCATTCTAGGGTTATAAGTTTCATATGTGTTTTTTAGCTAACACTAGCAACTCTATTTAAAAGTGCTCAGGTGGCATTGGGGATAATATGACTTCATAATAAAATACCAATGAATGTTAAAACAACATCATATTAGTCACCAAAGTCACACAAACAAGTTCAAAAACCCAAACGGCAGCATGGTTGTGTTAAAATAACAAAACACGGCAGGGATTTCTTTTCTGGTACTAACGAGGAAGTGTCATAAACAGAGAATATAATTCACTTGCTTCAACAACTATAAAGTCATAAGAATTTTGATGCACTTTTTAAAATTAAGGAAATTAACCTATTGCAAATTTGGAAAATAAGATGGGACTATTAATGTTTTCTTTAACAAACCATTTTAAATTTGCATGATTCAAATTTGCTTAATATGTTCTATACTGTTTAACCCCTATTAACTGCCCAATTCTGGTTTGAATCGTTGGAAATATGTCCTGAAAAGGGAAGCAAGGATCCAAGGGACCCTTTTACTCCAGCATAGAATCGACATTTTCTGTGGGGGAAGATACCATTCCCAGGATTATTATTATTATTTTTTTACATCGTTATTGGAGTATAATTGCTTTACAACGGTGTGTTAGTTTCAGCTTTATAACAAAGTGAATCAGTTATACATATACATATGTTCCCATAACTCTTCCCTCTTGTGTCTCCCTTCCTCCCACCCTCCCTATCCCACCCCTCCAGGCGGTCACAAAGCACCGAGCTGATCTCCCCGTGCTATGCGGCTGCTTCCCACTAGCTATCTACCTTACGTTTGGTAGTGTATATACGTGCATGCTACTCCCTCGCTTTGTCACAGCTTACCATTCCCCCTACCCATATCCTCAAGTCCATTCTCTAGTAGGTCTGTGTCTTTATTCCTGTCTTACCCCTAGGTTCTTCATAACATTTTTTTTTTCTTAAATTCCATATATATGTGTTAGCATACAGTATTTGTCTTTCTCTTTCTGACTTACTTCACTCTGTATGACAGACTCTAGGTCTATCCACCTCATTACAAATAGCTCAATTTCGTTTCTTTTTATGACTGAGTAATATTCCATTGTATATATGTGCCACATCTTCTTTATCCATTCATCCAATGATGGACACTTAGGTTGTTTCCATCTCCAGGCTATTGTAAATAGAGCTGCAATGAACATTTTGGTACATGACTCTTTTTGAATTATGGTTTCTCAGGGTATATGCCCAGTAGTGGGATTGCTGGGTCATATGGTAGTTCTATTTGTAGTTTTTTAAGGAACCTCCATACTGTTCTCCACAGTGGCTGTACGAATTCACATTCCCACCAACAGTGCAAGAGGGTTCCCTTTTCTCCACACCCTCCAGCATTTATTGTTTCTAGATTTTTTGATGATGGCCATTCTGACCGGTGTGACATGATATCTCATTGTAGTTTTGATTTGCATTTCTCTAATGATTAATGATGTTGGGCATTCTTTCATGTGTTTGTTGGGGATCTGTATATCTTCTTTGGAGAAATGTCTATTTAGGTCTTCTGCCCATTTTTGGATTGGGTTGTTTATTTTTTTGTTATTGAGCTGCATGAGCTGCCTGTAAATTTTAGAGATTAATCCTTTGTCAGTTGATTCATTTGCAAATATTTTCTCCCATTCTGAGGGCTGTCTTTTGGTCTTGTTTATGGTTTCCTTTGCTGTGCAAAAGCTTTGAAGTTTCATTAGGTCCCATTTGTTTATTTTTGTTTTTATCTCCATTACTCTAGGAGATGGGTCAAGAAGGATCTTGCTGTGATTTATGTCATAGAGTGTTCTGCCTATGTTTTCCTCTAAGAGTTTGATAGTTTCTGGCCTTACATTTAGGTCTTTAATCCATTTTGAGCTTATTTTTGTGTATGGTGTTAGGGAGTGATCTAATCTCATACTTTTACATGTACCTGTCCAATTTTCCCAGCACCACTTATTGAAGAGGCTGTCCTTTCTCCACTGTATATTCCTGCCACCTTTATCAAAGATAAGGTGACCATATGTGCATGGGTTTATCTCTGGGCTTTCTATCCTATTCCATTGATCTATCTTTCTGTTTTTGTGCCAGTACCATACTGTCTTGATTACTGTAGCTTTGTAGTATAGTCTGAAGTCAGGCAGCCTTGATTCCGCCAGCTCCGTTTTTTGTTCTCAAGATTGCTTTGGCTTTTCAGGGTCTTTTGTGTTTCCATACAAATTGTGAAATTTTTGTTCTAGTTCTGTGAAAAATGCCAGTGGTAAATTGATAGGGATTGCGTTGAATCTGTAGATTGCTTTGGGTAGTAGAGTCATTTTCACAATGTCGATTCTTCCAATCCAAGAACATGGTATATCTCTGCATCTATTTGTAACATCTTTAATTTCTTTCATCAGTGTCTTATAATTTTCTGGATACAGGTCTTTTATCTCCTTAGGTAGGTTTATTCCTAGATATTTTATTTTTTGTTGCAATGGTAAATGGGAGTGTTTTCTTTATATCACTTTCAGATTTTTCATCATTAGTGTATAGGAATGCCAGAGATTTCTGTGCATTAATTTTGTATCATGCTACTTTACCGAATTCATTGATTAG